TCCCCTGTCCCACATTCCCGAATCCCTCCTCCCCTGACCCGCATTCCTGAATTCCTGCCTCCCCTGTCCCGCCTTCCCGAATCCCTCCTCCCCTGGCCCGCATTCCCGAATTCCCAGCCGGCCCAGCGCAATTCCTGAATTCCCTAACCTGCATTCCCGAATCCCTCCTCCCCTGACCCGCATTCCCGAATTCCTGCCTCCCCTGGCCCGCATTCCCGCATCCCGGCCGGTCCCGTGCCGTCCCTGCGGGGCCGGGACAAAGCCCAGAGCCGGGCTGGGACAGCGCCGGGGCCCCGCGGGATCCTCCGCTCCTGAACCCACCTCAGCGCTGCCCCCGGCAGCAGGACCGCACGGTCCTGCTGTGCAACCCCGAAATCCCCGCAGGGGCTGCGGCTGCTCTCGGGGGCTGCTTGAGATGAGCGGGGTGCTGCAGCGCTGCTCGCTGCTGTCCCTGCACTGGTGCTGCAGCTCTGTTTGGTGCTGTCCCTGCACTGGTGCTGCAGCTTTATCTGGTGCTGTCCCTGCACCGGTGCTACAGCTCTGCTCACCGCTGTCCCTGCACCGGTGCTGCAACTCTGTTTGGTGCTGTCCCTGCACCGGTGCTGCAGCTCTGCTCGCTGCTGTCCCTGCAACGGTGCTGCAACTCTGTTTGGTGCTGTCCCTGCACCGGTGCTGCAGCTCTGCTCGCTGCTGTCCCTGCACCGGTGCTGCAGCTCTGTTTGGTGCTGTCCCTGCACTGGTGCTGCAGCTCTGCTCGCTGCTGTCCCTGCACTGGTGCTGCAGCTCTGCTCGCTGCTGTCCCTGCACCGCTGCCCTGCCGTGCGCCCCGGGCAGCAGGGCTGGCCCCAGCCCCTGCCAGGCTCCTCGGTCCCTGCCAGCCCCTCCGAGGGCTGCCCCGCTGCTTCCTTGAAACTTGTCCTGTACTTTACTTCGAACGCAGCAGGGAGTCAGAATTCCGCCCACTGTTCCCTTCTATTCTTGGCCCTCCGCTTCCCTCACCTCCCAACCAAAATCTGTTCTCCTTCTGAAAATGGCTTTGATTTTCTGACGGCGAGAAAGCAGCTCTCCCACGGGGGCTGGGGGCCGTGGGCTGGCACCCCCGGCTCTGAGCAGCCCGGCCCGGGGGCTGCCCTGCCCTCCCGGACCCTTCTCCGGCCCCGCTGGGCTGCCGGGGGCTGCTCTGCCTGCCGGGGGCTGCTCTGCGGCTCCTCCGAGCCCTGGCTGCTGCATTTGTCGCCTGCCTTGTGCCAGCACTGCTAAATTTACGGGATTGTTGCTGGGAATTAGCGGCGTGTCCGTGTTTGCCTCCCTCCCTTCCTGCCTGCGACTGCCGGGCGAGGCGGAACGCGCTGTTTGTCCCCTTTCCAAGCGGCTCTGTCGAATCAACAAGAACAGATTATTCATCTGCTGCGGGAGGCTAATTGCAAACAGCCAGGAAACAGGATGATTTCATTGGGAAGGAATGGGCAGCGCTGGCCCTGCCCCGTTTGGCAGCACGGGTCAAACCCGAGCTCACACCTGAGCGCAGCCCTGGTGCCAGACCCTCTGATGCTTTGGGGTCCCACTAACAGCTGGTGCCAGACCCTCTGATGCTTTGGGGTGCCACTAACAGCTGGTGCCAGACCCTCTGATGCTTTGGGGTGCCACTAACAGCTGGTGCCAGACCCTCTGATGCTTTGGGGTCCCACTAACAGCTGGTGCCAGACCCTCTGATGCTTTGGGGTCCCACTAACAGCTGGTGCCAGACCCTCTGATGCTTTGGGGTCCCACTAACAGGACCCTGCACAGCCCCGTCAGTCCCAGCCCAAGCAGCACCTGCAGTGCCAGAACCCCCTCCAGCTCAAGCCCAGGCACATCTGTAGCACCTGCACCTGCTCCCTGAGCTGCTGAGCCTGCGCTGGGGAGAATCCTCAGGTGCTCCTCAGAGCTCTGAGGTCTCTGGAACACAAAAACCCCCAAACCAGCATACTCCTGCTGCCCATTTTACATCCTTAGCCAAGAGGTGGCACAAACAGCAGCCCTGGGGCAAGCAGGAGCCTCATGGAGGTTCCTCCAGTCCAGGAATGTGGAAGGGTTTGCTGGAGATGTGGTTTGTGTGTCATTGTCACAGAATCCTCCATCACCCTGGGTGGCATTCCAGCTCCACACATTTATGACGTTCACCCTGCAGGAGCAGCATGGCCTGAGTGTCCTGAGTGCTGTCCCCTGCCCAGGGACGGCCAGCACGGCCCCAGGAGTGCTGGTCCTGCAGGACATGGAGCCGTGGCTTCGGATTCCAGCTCCTGGTGCTGCTGCCAGGGCTCTGAACCAGCAGCTGCTCTGCAGAGTCAAGTTTGCAATGAGACGAGCAGATTTCCATGGGCTGCTGAGCCTTCCCACAGAGCTGCATTCTGCTGTCCTGCAGCCTGCTGCCTTTTCCTGAAAGCCACTTGCTTTAGGAAGAACATGGCTTTTCCTGGGGCACTCTGCAGGAGCAGTTCTCAGCTGTCACTGCGGTGTCTGCACTGCTCTGGGCAAGGGTGCCAATGGAGGGGTCACCAGCCAGGGGGGTTCAGGAGGGGGCCTGATCCCAGGAACTCTTCTAGGCTCAGGCCACTGTCAAAACCACACCTCCTTCTCACTGTACTCTGTGTTTTTTTGCCAAAATACTCAATTCCATGACTTTCATTTGCCAGCTCTCCTGTGGAATTGGGTGCCCAGATGTTCCCCTGCCCTTTGGCAGCAGAGCAAAGCCATGGCCTTGACAGGGATGTTTCTAAAGCCTTCATTAAAAGCTGGTTCAACAGTGC